AGAGCCACAATGTCAAGCAGAGCGGCGTGGACGACATGGTGCTGCTGTCCAAGATCTCCGAGGAGGCCATCGTGGAGAACCTCAAGAAACGTTTCATGGACGATTTCATCTTTGTATCCTTGCCCAGGCAGCGGGCACAGGCACAGGGAGCGGCAGGGACGGGCTCCAAGGCTTTGTCAGCACATGGGACAGCCTGTCCATGCCCTGTGGGGACAGATCTGTGGGAATGTCACCATCCTGAGCTGAGCTGTGCCCAGCACAGACACAACTACCAAACCCCTCTCCTGCCATGCTGCAGGACCCACTGTGCTCCTTCCTTTGGAGCAGAGCCCTGACGGGCACACAGGGCACACAGGGGTGGCAGCAGGGCTGAGGCTGTGCCCACACCACTGCATTTCCCCTGATGTGGGGATGTGGCCCTGTCCTTACAAGGCCATGTGTCCCAGCTGTGACTCAGCCCTGCGACTCCCCCCGCAGCCCTGGGGCTTTGCACACGTGTGGGGTTGGCTTTTTTTGGGGTTTTGATTTTGTTCTTTTGGAGGGGAAAAGTACCCCGCGCAGCCTCTCCCTTCCCTTTTTGCTGCGCTGCCGCACGCAGGGCTCTGTCCAGCCATGACTCAACATCCCAAGCTTCTGCATTTCCCAGAAAAGCTCCCTCCTCCTGCCCCTCTGGCCACTATCCCCTTGTTTGGGACACAAATAGGGTATCAAAGGCTTGGATAACCCCACCTGCTCCATCCCCATCCTCCATCTCCTCACCTAGCCCATCCTGCTGCAATTCCCTGTTTTTCCATGCACTCAGTGACTTGGGGATGCTGCAGGAAAGGCAGCAGTGTGGGCAAGGAAGGGCAGGAGCTGGGATTCCTCTCCTCTTTGTGCCTCAGTTTCCCTGGATGTAAAATCAGGATGGATTTTGCATTGGATTTTTGCTGGAAAAGCTGCAGATGGAGCATGAGCAGAGGGCGAATTCCAGAGATGCTGGAGAGGTTTTAGAGCCAATCCTCAGCCAGAGGAGGGAGCTGAGGGGATGCTCCTGCACCCATCACACTGCAGGGGCTGAGGGAGTGCCCCAAGTCAGGGCAGCAGGGCAGCTCTGCCTGTGCCAGGCTGGAAATGCCACCCTTGTGCCATCCCTGGACGTGCCAGGGGACCCCATAACCACCTTCCACAGGACCGCATAACCACCTTCCTGCCCCCGGGGTGGGACTGGGCACTGGGAAGGGGGGACGTAAGAAGGGACAGACACACAGCCCTTGACCTGCTGCCCAGACCTACATCGGGCCCGTGCTGATCTCCGTGAACCCCTTCAAGCAGATGCCGTATTTCACCGACCGCGAGATCGAGCTGTACCAGGGCGCGGTGAGGCTGCCCCGCGGGCAAGCAGGGGTTAAATGTGTGCAAACACCCCTGAGGATCCCCATTCTGCACAGCCCCTGCAGGGGTCAGTGCTCCCTGCAGCAAATCCTGGGGAATTCAGCTCAGAAATGCACAGAAAGAAACCCAAAAATGGTAAAATGCAGCTGGAGTGGTTCTGCCCCAGCCCTTCCCAAGGAGGAGGGGGGGTTAAAAATCACCAGACTCGCTGCTGATGAGTTGGTGTTTGTGGGAAGAGGTTCATCCCCACATGGGCAGAGCGAGGAGGATTTGTGGATTTGGGGGTTGCTCTATGCCCAGCACTGCTGTCCTTGTCCCTTGTCCCTTGTCCCTTGTCCCTTGTCCCTTGTCCCTTGTCCCTCGTCCCTTTTATAGGGTCACTGTGAAGGGGCTGATCCTGACATGGGCAGAGTTGAGGGGGTTTTGGGGAGCTCTGTGCCCAGCACTGCTATCCTTGTCCCTTGTCCCTTTTATAGTCACTGTGAAGGGGGTGATTCCAACATGGGCAGAGTGAGAGGAATTTGGGTATTTGGGGAGCTCTGACCCCAACACTGCTTGTCCCTTGTTTAGGGTCAGTGGGAAGTGTGGCTCCCACATGGGCTGAGTGAGGGGGATTTGGGGGATTTGGGGGATTTGGGGGCTGATCTGTGCCCAGCCCTGCTGTCCTCGTCCCTTGTTTAGGGTCACTGTGAAGGGTCTAGTTCCCACATGGGCAGAGTGAGGGCGATTTGGGGATTTGGGGGTTGCCCTGTGCTCAGCCCTGCTGTCCCTGTCCCCTGCTTAGGCCCAGTATGAAAATCCCCCCCACATCTACGCCCTGACTGACAACATGTACCGGAACATGCTGATCGACGGCGAGAACCAGTGTGTCATCATCAGGTACTGGGGACACTGGGCCACACCCGGGCTGCCACTGCCCCTGGGGACACCTGTCCCCACCAGCCCTTCTCCCCAGCCCAGGTTTTCCCAAATGAAGTGTTGGCTCCTGGAATCTGGGGTGTCTGGAGGGACCCTCCAAGCAAGCAAGGCTGTGACCAGGAGTGTCCCAGGCAGGGACAAAGCCCCAGAGCCTTGTGCAATGCAGCTCTGCAGGGCAGTGTTGCAAGGGAAATGGTCAGGATGTGGAGCAAGGCCGGAGACTTCCCTCTGAGGCTCCCAAGTCCCCCTCCTCCACTTCTAAGCCCGGTGACAACAAATTCAACATCTCCTCACCGAGCCACGCTCTGCTCACACTGATCCCCCTGGGCAGAGCTGTGGTGGGGGACCACCATCCCAGATCCCCCACAGACCCACTGTGAGGATGGCACAGTCCCCAGAATTCACTGTCATCCTCTGGTCCTGCTCCAGAACCTACCCCAAAGTCCCCCCAAGGGATGGGTGGCTCTGATGAGGCTGTTTCACATCTGCTCTGCTTTGCCCTTTGCACAGCGGAGAAAGCGGAGCTGGGAAAACAGTGGCAGCAAAATACATCATGGGCTACATCTCCAAAGTGTCTGGTGGTGGGGAGAAAGTCCAGGTGGGTCTGTTGTCCCCCCTGCCACTCGTCATTTCACCCCCCAGCTGATCCCCACCACCCTGGTCCCCAACATCCCCCTGATGGGGCTGCTGGTGGCACACGGAGCAGCCGCTCCAGGGCTGGGGACATGCAAAGGCTCAGGTGTGTCCCCAGGCCTGGAGTGGGACACAGCAGGACTGAGCCCTGTCCTCCTGTGTCCCCAGCACGTGAAGGACATCATCCTGCAGTCCAACCCGCTGCTGGAAGCCTTTGGAAATGCCAAAACTGTCCGGAACAACAATTCCAGCCGCTTTGTAAGTGCCAGGTTGTGACCNAGGGGAGCCAGGGAGGAGGGTTCAGGTGCCTGGGGTGGCCAGCGTGGCTTGTGGCTCCTGGGTGATGGGTGGAGAGGAGCTGCTGTGGGGAGGGGGGCTGGAGCAGGGATTTTGTCCCTCGGTTTGCACCCTGTCACCTCAGGACTGGGATCAGGCCACCCCATGAGCTGAGGGGGCTCTCCAAACTCCCATAGCCACCAGCTTGGATTGGCCTGTTCCCCTGTTTGCCCTTGTCCCTTTTAGGACCAGATTTTAGCCCTGAGCTGGGGGCAGAGGCGTGCTGGGGGCTGTATGGGCATCCAGGCTGTGCCAGGCTCAGGGAGAGCAGCACAGGAGGGTGCAGGACAAGAATGGGCCTGGCACAGTGTCCCCAGGGCCTGGCACAGTGTCCCCAGGGCCTGGCACCCCAGAGACAGCCTCAGCCTCACTTCCAAAGGTGCTTGACTTCCAAAGGTGCTTTGCCTCCAAAGGTGCTTTGCCTCCAAAGGCAGGTGGTGCCAGTCCCAGTGGTGCCACTCGAGGTGCCAATCCCAGTGCCACCCACCCCTCTGCCCACAGGAGGCCTCCAGAGATGGGAAAAGAGCAGGTTTGACATTCCTCCAGGTCACCTGGTGGCCAAACCAGGGCCAGCTCCTCCACGGGCAGCCTGTGGAGGAGACCCGACTTCAACTCTCCAAAGCTTTTTGTTGGCATTGTAATTGTAATGATGACGATTATTTTCAGGCCTTTCCACATCACAGCGATGGGAAAGCTTTGTCCAGAGCCGTGTTTTGTTCCCTTGGGGCCATCCCTGTGGTGCAGGGAGGGGACAGTCCCCTTTCCCCCAGCAAAGCCCCCATGTGCTCCTGTCCCAGCTCCGTTTTTGTGTCCACCTGCTCCTCTCGGCCGATCGCAGCTTCTCTGGTGCTCAGCAAACCTCGTTTCTCTTCCTTCCTGGTGCCATGCTCCATGTTCTGATGGTTTTGGGTGAGGGGAGGGGGTGTTTTCACCATTTTTATATCGATATATATCCTACTGACCAATGTTTAACATACTAACTCTGAGGAGGAGCAACGTAAGGCATGAATTATAATAAAGGAGTAGCTACGATCCCGGGCACGGCCTCTGCTCCCACTTGTGTTCCTCCAGCCTGGGGTTGGGGTTGTGTGAGGNTGAGACAGCACCAAAAAGCCCCTTCAGCAGCTCTATGGGCTTTTGGGGTTTGGAGAGGGGGCACAGGGGATGTTTGGGGCTGCAGAGCCCAGTGACAGACACCCCAGGGGGACACCTGGTGACAATCAGAGGCTGCCAGGAGCCTGCAAAGGTGTGGGAATGGATGCAGGGCCCTGAAACCTTGAGAGCCTGCAGGGCAATGAAGCAAAAGGGGAAGAGGAGAAGAAAAGGGAAATGGAATGAGCAAGAGGCCAGGGCTGATGGGGGAGAAGTGAAATCGGTGACAGGAGCCTGGGGGTGAAAGAGGAACCGCGGGGGTGGGGAAGGAGGGGCCTCGGCCCCGTCCCTGTCCCCACACGGCCAGCACAGCTGTGCCCAGCCTGTCTGTGGGGACATCCAGGGCAAGGGGAGCCTCGGGGGGGGTCACGCAGGATGAATTCCTCTCTCACAGCTCCCTTGTTTACCCCACAGGGCTGAAATCACAGCCCAGTCCCTGGGGACAGAGCTGGGGACAGAGCTGGTGTGACAATGTTCACAGGGGTCTGAGGATGAGGGAGGAGATGAGGATCTGACTCCATGTTTCAGAAGGCTTGATTTATTATTTTATTATATATGTTATATTAAAACTATACTAAAAGAATAGAAGAAAGGGTTTCATCAGGAGGCTAGCTAAGAATAGAAAAAGAAGGAATGATAACAAAGGCTTGTGTCTGACTGAGACAGTCTGGACAGCTGGGCTGTGATTGGCCATTAATTAGAAACAACCAACATGGGCCAATCACAGATGCACCTGTTGCATTCCACAGCAGCAGATAATCATTTGTTTACATTTTGTTCTTGAGGCCTCTCAGCTTTTCAGGAGGAAGAAGGATTTTCTATAAAAGATGTCTGTGACAAGCTGGGCACAGAACTGGGCACAGCTGGGCAGAGGCTGCTGGCATCTCCTTGGGCACAACGAAGGGGAACACAGGGTGCCAGGAGGATGTGGGTGCAGAGGATGCCACCACCACCCTTCCCCTGCATTGCTCTGTCTCACAATTAGTCTGTGCACCAACAGAAGTCCTTCTCTATCTTGGTGAGGAGCAGAGGGCTGGGGCAGGTCCTGTCTGCTCCTTGCTCTGAATTTTGGGATCTGCTTTGCCAAACTCTTCCCTTTGCACATCCTGTCTGCTCCTCGAGGTGAGGAGGGCTCCAGGGTGTTGGGACAAGCCCCAGTGCTCTGAATTTTGGGCTCTGCTTTGCCAAACCCCGGTTTGGGGTGAGGGCTGAGCCAGGCAGGGCTGTGGCAGCTCGGGTGGCCCGAGGTGGCCCTGGCACA